TTGTGGGAAAATTCTACTACCAGTCCTTCATCACCTTACACAAAATAGGGTGAATACATCTCATTAAATATTTACCTAACAAATTATTTAGAAAATTTGATTTAAATGAAGTTCTTCGCAAATTGAATTTTTATTTATTCGATACTCATGTGTTAACTTACGTCGGAAATAAGAATATGTGAAAACCCTGTCGGCATGTCAGGTCTAGGAAGTATTTCCAATGTTATCGGAAGACCGGCCTCCAAACAGACGTCAGGGATAATTAATTTTTGGGTGTCTTTTTAAAAATAAATAATAGAATTGCGTCAAGTTTGAGTAAACTAATCAAAAATTGAATCTAAAAAACAACGTACCTTGCGAGATTGCAAATTCGTGTTGTCTATTGCTGCATCTCCGAGCTCCAGTCTGATAAGGTTTTACTATGATCGTCCAACGATCACCTTTGGAAAACTTGGAAAAGTAAATACATTCAAATCAGCAATTGCCAATTTGGAAAGCATGTGGAAACGAATTGTAAATTATTTGCTTACCTTTCGTGGGTCTACGTCTAGCACAATAATAAATTTTCCCTCTTCCTTGGGTCCGACTATAGTTATTGTGCCTTCTCTACCAGGGGTGTCGATAATCTGTCCTCCCGGCTTGATATAATAACCGTCTTCAACCTCGCTGCAAGCCCGTCCACTGAAGCCTTGCTTGCAGCTACACTGGCCGTTGTCACGACGGCATTGAGAACTTAACGAACCTATTGGACTGCATTGGCACTCTTGACAACCTTCTGGAGCAACCGTGAGATTAAAGTAGCCATCCTTTAGTATGCATATGAGTGACAGATGGTTAATAGAAATGAAACAGAAGGCCCAATCAATAATTTAGTAAATCTGGAAGGAACATAAATTATTATTTGCATTCCATAGTTCACACTGACTCAGTAACTGAGTCTATATAAGAGGTAAGATAAATCTGGATAGTCTTCTTGGCCTAGTGTTAACGAAAGCCTTTTACAAGAATGACACCCAGCTTTGATGTCCATCATATGATGGACGAAAGTTCAGCATGTTTTCACCCGAAACGAGAGAGGAAGTCCCGTCAACATGAATATCGTATAAAATCCAACCGGCTGCAATACAACGAGTTTCATCCGTCCTCACCAGCTGAGATCAACCAACGAATATCTTCTTCATGCACTTTCATACGAAATGAAGGTCACCCTAACAATAGCTAATATCATGTTTAGGTTGGTTACGTTTT